CGGCATTTAGGATCGGTGCCGGCATTTGGGATCGGCCCCAGGTACGGCCCCGCCGTGTCCCCAAGGGGGTGGTGGCGGTGTCACCTCCCCCTTCCCCCTCCCTGCGGTGCGAATTTTGGGGGATTTGGGGTCGCGGATCCTTTCCCGAGGGGTTCCCACGCTCCCAGGGGGGTGGGGCGGTGCAGGTGCTGTCCCCTCCCCCCGCATTTGGGGACAGCGCGGGGACTTTGTGGGGTCACCCCCGGGGGTGGCACCTGGGGACACGCGGTTTGTCCCTCTGTCACCCCCCCCGGGATTTGGGGACACCCCGAGGACTTTGTGGGGTCATCCCCGGTGGTGGCACCTGGGGAACGGGCGGTTTGTCCCTCCTGTCACCCCCCGGGATTTGGGGACACCGGAATTGGGGAGGGGGCGGGGCGGGGTGTGACCCCCGGGAGGTGACACGGCTTGGGGACAACTTTCGGGAACCCTTTTTGGGGTGTGCTCGGTGTCCCCGCAGTGTCCCTGTGGGTGGCAGCCCGAAGAGGCCACCCCCGTGTCCCTCGGTGTCACCAGGTGTCCCCAGCGCCCGCTGCCACCCCCTCTGTCCCCCCAGGATGTGACCCCGGGGAGGTGACACCGTTTGGGGACAATTTTTGAGGTGTTCTCGGTGTCCCCGAGCGCTGCTCCCTGCGGTGTCCCCGCGGTGTCCYCGGGGGTGGTGACACGGAGGGTCCCCCCCGATRTCCCCCGATGTCCCCAGGTGTCCCCGCCGCCATGACGTCATACCGCCAGGAGCTGGAGAAATATCGCGACATCGACGAGGACAAAATCCTGCAGGAAATGTCCCCGGAGGAGCTGGCACAGCTGGACGCCGAGCTGGCCGAGATGGACCCCGAGGTGACACCGGGGTGACCCCAGGGTGACCCCAGGGTGACACCGGGGTGACACGGGGCGGGTGGGAACCCACCAGGGCCACCCGTGGGTGACGCAGGGGTGACCCGGGGTGGGGACCCGGCCACTGGGGCCACCCTGGAGTGACGTGGGGGTGACCCGGGGATGACACGAGTGACCTGGAGTGGACAGGGACCCTCCGGGGCCACCCGTGGGTGACACAGAGGTGACATGGGAGTGACCCAGGGACCCTCCGGGGGGTGACACGGGCGCTGTCCCCAGAGGAGCTGGCACAACTGGACACCGAGCTGGCCCCCGAGGTGACCCCGGGGTGACACGGGGGTGACACGGGAGTGACACGAGGGTGATGGGGACTCTCCGGAGCCACTCTGGGGTGACACAGGGGTAATGTGGAGGTGACGGAGACCCTCTGTGGCCACCCTGGGGTGACACAGATGTGACATGGGGACCCTTGGTGGCCACCCTGGGGTGACACAGATGTGACATGGGGACCCTCGGTGGCCACCCTGGGGTGACACGGGCGCTGTCCCCAGAATGTCCTGCTGCCGGCGGGGCTGCGCCAGCGGGACCAGACCCAGAAGAGCCCCACGGGGCCGCTGGACCGGGAGGCGCTGCTGCAGCACCTGGAGAGACAGGCCCTGGAGGC